GTGGTCTCCTGTGGGTACAAGCCCATCCTGTTCTTACAAGGAAATTTTATGTCCAGCCCAATAAGGCAAAAGGGAAACCCCGTCTAAAAAAAAAAAAAAAAAAAAAAAAAGAGCACTGGCTGCTCTTGCAGAAGATCCAGGTTTAGTTCACAGCACCCAGAGTGGCTAACAATTTTCTGTAACTCCAGTGCCAGGAGATCTGACACCTTCTTCTGGTCTCCTCTGGCACCAGGTAATGCACGTGGTGCACAAACATACATGCTGGCAAATATGCACACACGTAAAATAAAAATAAGTAACTTTTAAAAAAAGAAATGAACAAACAGCATTCACATACACACTAAAGACCACGGAAGACACCACCAGCCCCAGAGACACAGGCACTACTTGCACCGGCTTTTCCACTTCTCAGACTATAAGACCATTTCTAACTGGATTTTCTCACCTGTATGTGCAGTCGCTCGTTCTCCTCAATCTTCTTTTGCAGATCCTCATCAAAGACGCTCTTTTGCTCTTGACTCAGCTGAGAAGTGTCTCCGCTTTTCTGGCAGAAAGAATAAGTTATGTCCACATAGTTTTCATCCTTTAGAGAAACATGCTAAGGCATCCAGATTCTCTATCATCTTAGTTCCATGTCTCTTCTATGGGTCACCACTCTCAAACAAGCCTGCAAGAGGTGTACAGTCCATCACTTAACTTTTCCTATGGAACACAGATTGGAACTGCAAATATTGCAAAGAACGGGAAAGCTTAAAAGAGAGGAAAAAATAAATGAGCTAACTATTTTTTTTCTATCACTTCAGGAGTAGTTCTGTTAGAAGACAGACCAGACTGAGAGAGTCAGCAATAAGCATCATTTCAATCTGATCTTTTGGTTTGGGAGAGAATTTTTTTTTTTTTGAGAGTCTGAGTTATTAAATTCCTTGAGAAGTTATTATTTAATTCCTTTAAGAAGTTGTGATAAAGGCTAGAGAGATGACTCAGCAGTTAAGAGCACTGGCTGTTCTTGCAGAGGAGCGGGGTTCAGGTCCCAGCATCCACACTATGGCTAACAACCAACTGTAACTCCAGTTCCAGGGGATCTGATGCCCTCTCCTGGCCTCTGCAGGCACTGGCATGACATGGGTGCACTTACATGCATGCAGGCAAAACATTCATACACATAAACTAAAACAAACTAAATAAGAATTTTTTGAAGAAGTTCTGATAAATTACATAAGAGCATTCACAAATATATGTTCATACAAAAGTTCACATAAATTTCTGACTTAAAAAATATTAAATAAAGCTATTATGTACAGAAGGAAAAAAAACTTAAATTATGAAAAACCCCTTCTTTTTCTTCTAATATTAACTTTTCTTCTGAAAAGAATAGCACTATTTAGGAGATCCAATAATGAACAATTGTTTTCATGTAATTCACAGAACTGAGACTAAGCAAAGGACAGTCTAATAATGAAACTGTGTTGAGACATCAGCCACCATTCTGCCTTTTTCTATATCACCACTCCAAATAAGTCACCTAGTGATCCAATACCATTCAGTGATGAAAAGCTCTTAGAAAACAGAACAGCTATATCAAAACCAAAAATGGGACCTAGAGAGATGGTTCAGCAGTTAAGAGTACTGGCTGCTCTTGCAGAGGACCTGGGTTTGTTCCCAGCACCCATGTGGTGGCTAAAACCATCTGTAACTCCAGTTCTAGGAGGAATCTGACATCCTCTTCTGACCTCTAAGGGCATTACCTGACATGTGTGCACTTAAACACATGCAGACAAAACACTCATACAACATAAAATAAAAATAAAACTAAAAAAAAAATTTTTAATATCTATCACGTTTGGAACACAAGGTGCATAAGGAACAATACTGAATGGCATATTTGCAGTCCTTGGGGCTCCCAACTCTGGAAAGTTTTGGTTAAAATGGATTTGCAAGTTTCACACACCTATGCTAAATAGTGATGGGAAGAACTATTAATTAATATGGTATGTTAGCCAGACCAGACAATAATTCCAGTGCTTAGGAAGCTGAGGCAAGGGCATTGTTGCATTTCTGAGGCAAGGCTGGCTGGCCTACATATTTAATTCCAGGGCAGCCTAGGCTACAGGGTAAGACACTGAGTCAAAAATTAAAAAAAAAAAACTAGTCATGTGTGACACCTGGTAGTCATCTAGATGGCTACCTCCTCCCAGGGATCTTTCGGAACTCCCAAAGCACATGGATCCAGTTTCCCCAGTGACTCTCATGCACACATGCCATGCCCTCCTTGTTCTCCCTTGACTTCAATACCAGCACGTCACAGCACCATTCCACAACCAGCAATGCAGTTGGGAACATACTATATTTAACATATTACATGGTAATACAGCCTTAAGCAGTTCCCCTAATCCCATCTGATCCCCATAAGCCTTAAAGTCCATTTTGCTGATGGAGACACTGAGGTTGCCAAAGTCTCAAATTTATAAATGGCAGGCAAAGAATTCAAACCCAGAACTCCAGAGCCTGTGTTCCTCCCTCCACACATACTTCTTCAGGGTCATTTCTTCCCTTCTACCCAGGCTGTTAACACTGCCTCTATCTGTACATTTGTGAAATATGGTTCTATATACATGAGACTTGGAGACTCCATTGCTAGCCCCTGACATCCCTCCCCCAAGTTCTTAACTACAGAAGGCTCTCAGAACACTAAGAATCTGCCTCCCAAATAAAATCATAAAGGAAAAACATCTTCAAATCATGAGCAGACTGAAGTGACTGCCCAAGAATAAGCACTAAGAAAATAAATCAGCAATATTGTGTTGAGCAGAAAGAAGGGGATCTGCACATGCCATGGCATGCATGTAGAAGTCAGAGGACAATTTGCAAGTGTTGGTTCTCTCCACCTGTGGGTCCTGGAGATGGCACTCAGGTCATCAGACTTGGCAGCACATGACCTTTACTGGCTGCAACATCTCACTGCCCCCAGCAGCTGCACCCGCACCCCAGCAGCTGCACCCGCACCCCAGCAGCCGTACTGTGTTGCTCTCCATCTCTGGTTGTTCTTGCCTTACCTTGGGTTCATAGTAACTTGGAATAACAAAGATACATTAAGTTTTACCAATATGAGATACTGATTGATATTTTTTTCTCAGCCACTAAATCAACTATGACAATGTTTGCTGCTAATCAATCCTTGAAAACTGACTTTTGCCTGAAATCCCAGGACTGGGGAGGCCAAGGCAAGAGGACTGAGAATGTAAGGACGGCCTGGGCTACATGGAGAGATCTTGTCTTCAAAAAGAGAAAAGACAGGCACATACAGAGTGTACATATGTACATGCTGGCAAAACACTCATATAAATAAAATAAAAATGAATAAATCTTTTTGGGACCGGGAAGATGGCTCAGCAGTTAAGAGCACTGGCTGCTATTCCAGAGGGCTTATAGTTCCCAGCAACCACATGGTGGCTAACAACTGTCTGTAACTTCAGTTCTAGGGGATCTGATGCCCTCTTCTGACCTCTGCAGGCACTGCTCAACACAGGTACGCTTACATGCACGCAGGCCCTAACCCTAACCCTAACCCTAACCCTCATGCACATAAAATAAACATAAAATTTTTTAAAAATGAAAACGAATGGTGGAAACATCACAAATTCTTTTAAAAATAAATAAATAAAACTTTCAAAAAAGAAAAGAAGGTACCCCCTTTTAGTACATATTAATAATAACTATCTGCATTCTGGACTCAACATGCAGCTATAATAAGGGCACATTAGAGAATGTGGAGGGATTTCTGAGGGTGCCATGTCCAACCTACAGCAAGGTGGCATTAAGCGCCTTTCCTGGACTCACCTTGTTCTTCTTGCCTCGAGGCTCACTGAGCGCTAGCTCGTCCTGAAGCAGTTCGACCCTCTTGGCCAGCTGTAGATTCCGAAACGTCAAGCTGTCCATTTCCTGTTGCAGCTTCCTCAGTGACTGGTCCTTCATTTTCAGTTGTTCCTACAGCAAATCGAAAGCAGTTCCTCACACACAGTTTGGCTTTGAGGTTTAGAAATGATGAAAAAAAAAAAATCTTCTTTTCACCAAAATAAAACCAAAACTTCCTGCTTTGGGAAATTTACATTATATGTTATAATTTTAGCTGTTTTGAGACAAAAATATCTTTTGAGCAAACCAAGTGAAAGGGAAAAAATACTGTAGCTATGGGCTACAAGTTTATAAATTTGAATAATTTAAGAGAATCTCAGATTTACTAACAAGGCCCTTCAGTGAGCAAAGGGTAAGAAATACATCTGTGTGGCCTTTTTTCTAAACTCCTTCCTGAATTAAAATCAACCAACTTGAAAGTGGGGACAGAACCCAACCTGGAACGTCACCAACACTGAGCAAGTACTCTAATACTGAGCAACATCCCCAGCCCCCGAAGTCTTTTCAACACTTATTTTCACGTCACTAGTTTGACCTGTCAAAGATTTTTTAAAATTGGTATTATCACAAACCAAAATTATTATGAGATGTTGTTCTACATCAATGCACTTTCAAGGTATGTGAAAATTGAAACAAAATCTAAAATCTGAACAACACACTTTCACTATTTTCCACTATTTACACCACAGAGGGGTAAGAAAATAGGAAGCCAAAGAGAAATGCTATTTTTTATTTTTATTTTTTGTGTTTCTGAGTCAGGGTCTCCCTGTAGCCCCAACTGTCCTGGAACTCACTATGTAGACCAGGCTGGCCTTGAACTCACAGAGATCCACCTGCCTCTGCTTCCTGAGTGCTGGGATTAACGACATGTGCCACCACACCTGGCTAGAAATGCTATTTTTAAAAAATATTTTATTTATTCTTTTTATTTTATGTGTATGCATGTATTGCCAGCATGTAAGTAAATACACCTGTGTCATGCAATGCCCACAGAGGACAGAAGAAGCTGTTGGATCCCTGGAACTGGAGTTACGGACAGTTGTTAGCTACCATGTGGGTGCTGGGATTTGAACACGGGTCTTTTGCAAAAACAGCCAGTGTTCTTAACCTCTGAGCCATCTCTCCAGCCCCAAAATGCGTGGTGGTGCACGCCTTCAATCCCAGCACTTGGGAGGCAGAGGCAGGCGGATCTCTGTGAGTTCAAGGCCAGCCTGGTCTACATAGTGAGTTCCAGGACAACTGGGGCTACAGGGAGACCCTGTCTCAAAAAGACCAAAAGAAAAAAAAAATTATTCTAACTAAATTTTACCATCACTTTGTGTTTTAAGCAAACACAAACAACCAGATTCTACTGTTCTACTGTCTATTTAAAGAACTATTTTTATTAATTTCACTGAAAACATAAAACTCAAGAAGTGAATTTCAGAAAAGATGGTTGAACCACATTGAAGCAATGGCCTACAGCAAGACTACTGTCTGCTCTACTGGAGATGCAACCGTATGCTGCCACGGATAGAAAAATAATTTCTTTCCTACTGTTAAGCTCTTAATTTTTACTTCAAGTTCAAAGGTAAACACGGGCCCAGCTCAAGTGCAAATTATCATAAAACCTCAACTTAAAGAAAGTAAAATCAATGAATAGTTACCCCTGCCAGTAAATCACTGAAAGGGAAAACCCAATAAACCCAGTCAGAGGACACCCTAGCATTCCCATGTAGCCAACTAGCAAATCTCCAGTTGTACTCTAATTACAACGACTTCTGTTAGGAATAATAAAATGAGAAGTAATTTCTTGACACTGTTGTAATGAGTTACCACTAACTGATTATTGCTCCAAATGCAATGACCAATCATTAGCTTCAGAAGAGGTCTACCTCCCAACCTTTATCTAAACCCCAGCTTCTGCAAGGGAGATGATAACACTATGAACCCCATGGAGTTGGTGGAAATGTTCAGTAAGTAGTGGCTGTAATATGCTTGGTACAATGCCCGGATGGGCAAGTGTTCAACACAACCAGCTTCTTTATCACCATGGCCATAACTGCCCATGCATTACTACCACCAGAGTTCATCACAAAACCAGCCACAGGAGGGTGCCAAATACAAGAGCAGGTCACTAGGAGATACTTCTAGTACATTATTAGGAGAGAGAGAGTGATCATTTCTTTAAGGATTTCAATAAAATAATTCACATCCTACAATTAATTTATCCATTCAAAAAAGGCAAGATTAATGAACTACATGATTTACATATTTAAATCCATCTACCAGGGCCCATCTGCTGAGTGCTGGGGACACAAACGTGAACATGACCCAGCCCCTCAGAGCGCTGTGTAGAAATGGTGCAGCTAAGGAACGCCACTCATTCAGGTGGATTTGATTGTATAAAGGCCTGAAGGTACAGAAGTGCATTTTTCTATCCTTTTTAGCTGAGGAAATAAATATGTATAACACACATACCTGGCAAGTAGGAAACTTCAGCACAAAAAAAAAAACAAAAAAAACAATCCCCTCTCCCCTAGTGAATCAGTGTCAGAGTTAGGACTTTATCCTGGAAAACAGCTACATTCCCTACTTTGTGCAATACCAAGCATGTGACAACCTTGCAGCTCCAAATTTCTGCTGCTTACCTTTAGAGCAGCAGAATTGGCTTGCTCATCCACAACACCTTTTTTAAGGACCTGATTCTGAGCCCGAAGCTGAAAACAGAAAGCAATTGTTAGTTTTTATATAAAGCAACCAGTTAGAGCAAGGAAATCACAATTACTTCATAGGAATATTTACATTAAATAGCTAACTTGCCATCTTGTATATTCAAACACAGAGGTTGAACTCCCCAATAACATAAACCTAATCACTGGCAAAACTGAAATCCATGTCTACTGTGCTGAGGCTGTAGCTTACTTGCCTAGTGTGAGTGAGGCCCTGGGTTCGATTCCCAGAACCACACAAAATAAATAAAATATTCGTGTCTCCTGACTTTGAATGCATCATTCTTTATATGGAATTAAGTCATGACCCTAAATAAAAATAACGCAATCAAAGAGAATATGCCATCTTCTTGAAATTCTAGAACACTATTCATTTGTAAAATATAATTGAACAAATTACAGAGTAAGAGCTGAACAGAAACCACAATGTAAAGGCAGCAAAATATTCTGTGGACACAGGGCCTTATTGTAGATATACGAAGGTCATCGTTGCAGCCAACAACTGAGGAATGGCAGACTTGTTATTGGCCACCGGCTGAACAGTGTGCAAAGCAACTGTGGAGCAGGCTCAGGTTTAAAATCAGTGCTGAAGCTGGGTGTGGTGGCACATGCTTTTAATCACTGCACTTGGGAGGCAGATCTCTGTGAATTCAAGGCCAGTCTGGTTGACAGAGCAAGTTCCAAAAGCCTACTGATAAATTCCAGGCTAATGGAGACCCTGTTTCATAAAAGGAGCGGGGGGTGGGGGGGCAGTATGGCACCTAAGGAACAGCACCAAAGTTCTTCTCTGGCCTCACACACAAGCCAGTATGTGCACACACCTGCACACAAACACTAGTACACATAATAATATCCTCTTGCATATTGCATTCGGATCCTCATCACACACCAGGCAGTGTCCCAAGTGTCTTCATGTGTGCTTATCTAATGCTTACAATCCTACCTCCACTTTAGAGATGAGGAGACAGAGGAAGAGAACAGCAAGACGGACATGCTGAGATTCACAGCCCAACAGCTCTGACTCCACTGTTCAAAGGTCAGCTAGACAACGCCAGCGACTATCTACAAAGTTACATTGAGAGAATGGTGGGTGGGTAAGATGGGATCCTCTCCTTGGGAAATCAGGCAGAACCTGAGCTTTGTTTCCATAAACAAGTATTTAAAAATCTATGTAGAACTTTATTACTTTTATTTTATTTACTGTATATGTGCATATGTGTGGGTGCATGTGAAGGACAGAGGACAACTTGTGGGAGTCAGTTCTCTCCTTCCACCATGTGGATCCCAGGGATCAAATTCAGGTCATTGGCCTTGGCAGCAAGCACCTTTACCTGCTGAGCCATCTTGCCACCCAGATAAATGTTAAGTACCAAAAAATTATAACTAGTGAATTTACTTATATTCACATCTATATAACCACTACTGGCAAAGTTCTAGAAGATAAAATTCTTTTCCACAGTAAGAAGAAAGTATTCTCAGCAAAAATATCACAATATAGATAAATATAAATACGTAAACTCAATGCAGCTGAAGCAAATATTTACAAACTGATTTTTCGGGCTCAACACAGGCACTACGAGTGGCCACATTCTCTCTGAGAAACGGACAGAATAGGATAATTCTACCTATGGGCTTGAAAAAAAATCTATTTCGCCAGAGATGGTAGCTCATGCTTGTGAACCTGAAGGCTGAGGCAGGAGGAGGACAAGCTTGGACAACTTGGTCCACACAGCAAGTTTGAGGCTGGCCTGAACTACACAGAGACCTTGCCTCAAATTTAATTGACAAATTAATTAAATAAAAATCTAATTCTGCATAGCTCAGATCTGTCTCCTGAGGAAAGAGAACAGAAGTGATGTTTTTCTGTGCCATGAAAGCAGGAATACGTGAATGCTAAACTTTAAGTGGAGTAGTTAAAACATGAGAGAATTTAAGACTACAGGAGTAAAGCGACAAACAACTCTCTTTAGAAACTTGAGGATCACTGCTCCCTAATACAACAAAAAGCAGATCTAAATCTGTGCCCTACCACATTTAATAGACAATATAGATTTGGGACCTTCACTTAGCCTTTTGTTTTAAATATTTATTTTTTTAATTTTATACATATAGGTGTTTGTCTGCATGTATGTAAGTGAGCACAGTGCCAGTGGAGGCTGGAAGAGGACACTGGTTCCCCTGGAACTGAAGTTACAGACTGTTGTGAACCGCCATGTTGGCACTGGAAACCAAATCCACGTCCTCTGTAAGAGCAGCCAGTGCTCTTAACTGCTGAGCCATCTCTCCAACCCTTCACTTAGCTTTTTGAGCTTTGGTCACATGGTCTATAGTGTATATAATGGGTAAACATGGAGCTTTGGCTCCCATCACCCACCTGGCAGCTAACAATCATCTGTAACTCCAGTCTCAGGGGATCTGATGCCTTCTTCTGACCTCTGCAGGCGTTAAACACATAGGTATACTTCAATATATTTGAGCAAAACACTCAAACTTACAAAATAAAAATAAATTTTAAAAAAACTTTAAGGGCCATGAGAGAAAGAAGGAAGTAAGAGGTAAGGCTCTTGTTTTCAAAGAACTTATCATTTTCTGGGTGTCGTAGCTCACACCTGTAATCCCAGCACTCAAGAGGCTAAGGCAGGAAGACTGCCATGAGTTTGAGGTCAGCCTGGTCTACCAGTGATTTCTAGCCTGAGCAAGCTACAGTATGAGGCACCATCTCAAAAAACCAACAAGTTGGCTGAGCATGGTGGTACTTGTCTTTGATTCCAACACCTGGGAGGCAAAGCTGGGTGGATTTCTGTGAGTTTGAGGCCTACCAGGGCTATACAGTGAGGCCTTGTTTAAAAAATAAAAGTCTAGAACTGGTGAGATGGCTCAGTGGTTAAGAGTGCTTGCTATACAATCATGGGGACAAGAGTTTGGATCCCAGCACCCACATAACAAGCCAGGCATCCTACACACCTGTAGCCCCAGTTCTAGAGGGAAGGGGCAGAGATAGGAAGATCACTGGGACTTGCTGGTTTCCAGTCTAGCCAATGCAAGTCGCGGGTTCAAGGGGAGACCATGTCTCAAAGGATAAGTGGAGAATGACAGAAGTCACCCAGCATCCATCCTCTTCTGGTCTCTGCAGTTACACCTACACACACACACACACACACACACACACACACACACACACACACACAAATAAATAAATCTAAAAGATAAAAAGTCCATTTAGATATATATATATATATACATATAATTTAAATGGGAAGATAAAATATTAAGACAATATTTCGCAAAATTGTGTTTTTCTGTTCTTAAAAGAAAAGGTATAAACATGAAATTCTCTGAGAAAGGTCTTGGCACACTGAGTTCTGAGAGTCAAACCAGCCTACTTTGAAGTTTTACTGGAACATGCCATACTCCTTTATTCACATACTATATGCAGTGGAAGAGATAAGCAACAGAAATCATACAGCTCCAAGTCTAAAATATTTAGTATATGGCTCTTTATAGAAAAAGGTCTGCCAACCTCTGCTCTAGACGTTTAAAAACAGGAAACACCAGCTTAGCATTGACTTCCAATATGCAGCCTTCTACTTTCTAAGCAATAAGTATCCTATGGACAGTGAGCTACTTACCTAGCAGAATTAATACATCCAAATCCACATAGCCAGAAGACAGAGTACCATGTAACCCAGGCTAACCTGCTTAATAGCTGAGGATTCCTTGAGCTCCTGACCCTCTGGCTTCTACCTTCCAAGTAATATCTCTGGAATTATAGACATGTGCCACCACATTCAGCTCTCTACCTCAATCTTTAGGTGTCATTTCATCCCATGTTCTAACTGATCTAGCAGGTCTTCTGGGGGGGGGGGCGGTAAAAGCCCTTAATGACTACCCGAAAGTCTAAGGTGCTTGAAGTCCACGGAACTGATCATTGCCTGTATGATCAGCATGGCAGAAATTTAAAGCATAACAGAACGTCCCCTTTCGTTTCTAAGGTATAGTAAAGGTTATTGGGAGCAAACTGAGCAGCCTGATTTGTTAAAGAGCAAAAGGAAACTTTCAAATAACTGTGTGGCATTTATTCTAACTGATTATAACAAAAAAATGATCTAGATTTTTCCTTTGGAAAATATTGCTTGCTAAGCTGACAACCCAAAACATGGTTTCTACGAAACCAGTTAACAAAATTCCTTTCATAAGTATTTATCTAGAAGGCCTGTCTGTTACGCAGTAGGCAGGAAAGGATGGTGACGATCAGCTGACATGCTCTCTTCTGCTGCCACTGGAGCTACAATCCCTGGCACTAGACACGCTCCTGCACCACCTCCTGCAGGCTGGCACCACTACCGCCACTTGCACATGATCACCCAGCAGCCTGTCCAATGCTGATCCTCTGTTCTGAGTCTGGTCCCTCAGAACCCACCTTCCTCCTCTCCAGCACTCACAGGGGAGGCGAACGCACTGTATTCTGCCTTAGCTACAGTTACAGGACCACAGCTGGACACTCATGACTCTAGGAGACAAGTGTGTGTAAAGACTGGTTCAACAGAGAAGCAACTGCCCTGATGTCCCCGTTACACAGAAAAACACTGAAGAGAGCACAGCCCTGTCCAGCAGCTGCACACAAAGCCCTCTGCTGCCCATGGTAGAAGAACAGGACCTCTCCACCCACCTCTGAAGCTCTTTAAACGCTTGTAAACCTCACTTTCTAATGTCTTACCATCTTCTGGTTAATTACCTCCACTTTGAGAGCATAGCTCTTCTTCACTGGCTGAACAAATCTTAACCTGTTGTTCTGGGAGGCCCCTTCTTCCTTTTGGTTCTACTTCTACCACAACCTTTTCCTAACCAACACCTCAGCCCACAGTGAGCTCACTTCTCAGTTCCTTTGGCACCCACTGGTAACAAGGCATCTTCTAGTCATGTTTGGTCTTAATTTTATTCTTTTTGGAGACAGGGTCTCACTATGTAGCCCCAGCTGGCCTTAAACT